GATGCGCCGCAGTCTGTGGAGGTCATGCTTCGTGGCTGAGCTGCCTCACAATGTGAGGGACGTGGTGATGACAGACTCTATGACGGCTGTGTAGAACTGCACCATCAGCTCCTGGGGCAGGTTGAACTTCAGCTGACGCAGGAAGTACATCCTCTGCTGGGCTCTCTTGGTGATGGAGCTGATGTTGCTGTCCCACTTCAGGTCCCTGGTGATTGTTGTGCCCAGGAACTTGCAGGACTCTACTGCCACCACAGTTTTTTAACCTAACGTTATTCTTCCTAATATAAACAGACACAAGTTCAGCTCTGTCTCCTCATTATTTGCCACCATCACTGTAATATTTTATCTGACGAGTTTTATCAACAATAACACACAAAGGTAATAAGAGGGGATAGCGGAGATCGTGTCTGCAGCGTAGATAAATGTAGCGTCATTATGTTAGTTATAGTGAACTGTGCTGACTGACACGGCACAAAACAATAAAAACATACGGTTAAAACAGAAGTTAAGACAGCTCTGGGGTTGTCTTAAAGTTAAGAAAATATTTAGGATATTTTGGCAACTTAGGATGTTTCTGTAATACCGTTTTCTTATCTGGAAATAAGATAAGATTATAGATTTAAGAACTGTTCTGTAATGGCTTTTGTCCTATCTTCAGTCTTAACTGAAGTTGCCATGACAACAAAGTAGATCTCAGACTTAAGAATTTTCTTTAATAGGGCCCCTGGTTTCTATCACCATCACTGTAAAGACATAAGTCTGTAAGTTCTTTCCAAATTAACCATTTCAAATCAAAACAAACTAAATGTCTGTTTGTATCTCAACCACTGAACTGTACAGCACTTTTGAAAAATCGCTGGAATTCCCCTTTAAGTATCTCTGCTTCCCACCATGCCCCATTTTCGACGCATCCCGTCTGCTATTTTTCATTAACAAGGGAGATGAATGTGGTAAACATCAGTTCTTTACGTGCTGTCATTTAGGCTGTGCTGAATTTAATTTTAGGCTTGTTGAATTCTTTCTCGGCTGTTTTTTTCACTTGCATGAGACACTGCAAGAGCTACGGGGGTTTTCTTAGGAGCTCTTTGCGATGATGAAATCGCGTGCGTTTTTATGGTTTTGTTCACCGTCTCTTTTTTAAAATGATCTGTTCCTTTAAGAAATCCATTTTTACAGCTGTATCTTTGCCTGCTTTCTAACAGAATTTGCAATATAGTCTGCTTTATGTTACAATATCTGAGTCACGCAAATTCCTGAAGTCCAGAAGTTCTGAAATCTTTCTGTGGTTGTACTTCTGCATGAAGTGCTTGAGGTGGACGGTTGTTCAGGTACATCTTTGTGTTTCGTCTTTCACTAGTTCACTGGTCCTGAGTCAGACTGGGGTTGAGTAGATGACCTCTTAAGGTCTGACAGACGTAAACTGTGAAAAATCTGATGTTTTTCTATTCGCCATTTTCTACACACCGACGTTAATGGCAAAAAGCTCAGCTCTGCTCGGCTCATATGCTCTGTGTGTCACATTTTTGCTGCTCTGGTTGAAATCTAGTGAGCGCGCAAGCATTTTTTTGATAGGCGGACGCGTCCATGTGACGCTGAAGAATATCAGTTACATATTAAGATGAAAAATGATGAAAGAAAATATAAAACATAAAAATCAATTAATACAGAACAATAGTAATAAATAGTTACCCACAAAAAATTATAATCTAAAGTTGCTACCAGTCGCCACTGGCGAGTTAATTCATTTTATTACTTGCATATTTTTTTTCTCTTTAAACTATGTGTCTTCATTATCACGATAAGTCTCCATTAACGTAATAAGTTTCTGATAACTATTAATGTTCAATGTCTTACAAGGCTGTGCTTCAGCAAAGACAGCTCAGGGGGGATTTGTACCAAGCCCCTTATGGTTTCACGGTGAGCCACAAGTGGCCCATGGCAACACTGCAATAATGATCCAAGCACAAATTTAGTGATGGAAAGATTTAATAAAACATTTCCTGATTAATAATCAATTAACTAAATATTGGCTAACTTGAGCATTTGGAGATCCCCTAAAAAAAGGTAACATTGGGGAGCAGGCTATAGACTGCATGCATTTGGAATGTCCTCCTGAACTCAAAAAGAAACTGTACAAATCATAGCTACAAAATATGGCTGAAGGTAAGGGAATTATATTAGATGACAGTATAAATTATAGCTGAAGTGAAAGTCATAAAGGGAATTGTATTACATGATAGTGCAAATTATAGCTGAAGTGAACTTGGATGAAGAAGCTGTGTAAGATGACCCTGTAAGGATGGAACAGCCTGGTATGACCAGGTCAGAATGGCTTTTACAAAAAAGGACATCGTGAGTGTTTAGTTTTAAGGGTTGCCAAAAGGGTGCAGGGTTTGGATACAGTGCGGACTAAGGTGGTATGGAATTGTGTTAAAAGGGGGGGTGATTACTTAATCACCCCAAAGGGCAATAAAAAGGGATGCCTCGAGATGACATTTGCATTGTTGTTGTCCGGGAACCATTTTGCCACTTAAAGCTCAATAAAGAGAGGGGCTTTTCCTTCCTTCTACAAGAACCCAGCGGCTGAAATCTTTTTATTCTTTGTATTCCTTTTTTATTCCTTTATATCCTGTTTTACCTTTTGTTGATATTCTTTGATTCTTTTAATTCTTTTTTAAAGAAGTTACACTACAGACAGTTATTAGGGTACTAGCATAGAATAAGGGCGGGGGGAAAAATCGTTTCTCAGATGCATCGTGATGAGGACGTAAACGATTCTGAATCGATTCACAAATGTCAAAAATCGATTTTCTAAACTTCAATTTGCAACAATGTTGACGGAACGCAAAAGGCGGAACTTGGAAGTGCGGAACTGACGCCCTGTGCATTCAAAGCTAGGTTAGGTCAGGAGTCGACAACCCAAAGGTTAAGAAGAGCTATTTTGTCCTTTCACCAAAAATCAAACCACCTTGGGAGCCACAACATTTTATGTCCAATATGTCTCAGTATGTGCTAATGTCCTAGTATAGGCTAAAAAATATAAACGAAAACGCAGACTTGCTTTGCTCTGCTTTAAGATCAAGCTATAGCCGCTTTCCTCCCATCTCCGCCAGAAAACTTTTCTTCAAAAGTAGAAGAGTTTCTTGGAAAATGTCTTTCAACGTTTGACTGTTTGTATGAGGCTGAAGTCACTTCTCATTCCTCAGCTTCTTGTTCAAATTTTTCCGTTCCACCTTAAATTCTGCCTGCGGCACCATTTAAGGTGGAACGGGAAAATTTGAAAGAGAAGCTGACTTCAGTTTTGCAACTTTTTAGTGTTTGACAGTCTCTCATTGCAGATTTAACGTACCAGGAAACCATCTGTGGTGCTTATAAACGCAAATCTATTCATCTCCAAATGTTTGTCTTAAATCTCTCTCTTTGCCTTTTTGTTAGCTACTAGCTAGGCGAGACTGCGTTGCTATGCGACCTGAGTCTGCATGCCAGTTTTCAGTCATTGAGAACATGGGCTTCTGCGCTATGTTGCTCATGTTCCATCTCGAAGATATTTTACGCACATAGCGATCCCCACTCCCTACAACGAGATCGAAGTTATAAAATCACTAAAATGGGTAGGACAGCTGTAACATGCTGTGTGGACATCTATTGCCATGTCACTGTAACAGCGCATTTTATCATAGACGAGTTGCAGCCAGTGTCTCATTACAAATACTTTGCTTTAAAAGTACCAAGTTCTCATACAGTGATAAAGCAGAAATCATGTATAGAAAAAAAGATGCATCAAGATGCATCGATAATCATTTTATAATCGCATTATTATTGAGTGATAATAGAAAATTAATTCACAATACACCCTCTGTCATTCTGTACAAATTTTCAAATTCAGTCATAATCAGACAATTGCTTATGTTTTTGTAGCACTTAAGTCAGAATAAGCCAGGTCACACTGATTTATTCAAATATTGCTAATACTTGGCAAGCATGATATGAAGTGATTTCTTTTTATGTATGATAAAATGTATAGGACTTACTGTAGTTTATGTTGTATGGTGCTACCTCATGGCCAACTGAGGTCAAACTTTATAGGCTTT